ATAGATAGATAGATAGATAGATAGATAGATAGATAGATAGATAGATAGATAGATAGATAGATAGATAGATAGATAGATAGATAGATAGATAGATAGATAGATAGATAGATAGATAGATAGATCCCACCCTATACCTGAAGATCCCAAAGCTGTGTACAGTCAATTGAAGCAATCTAAATCAATATGAGCAACAGAAAACAATGGGCACAGGGAAAGAATGAATGGCATCACAATCAAAATAAAGCTCACAGTTCAATAGATTAAAAGTGATGCCACAGTCAAAGCTTGGGTGAACAGTCCAGCTTAAGCAGGACTAGCAGCAGCATCATTTGGGCCACGGAAAGAAAGGGGCTACCACTGAGAAGGCCCTGTATCTGACCTTCACAAGCAGAGCTCTCCCAGGACATAAATACTAAGTTTATTTACACTTTTTAATATAGTTATTTAAATCTTTTTTTAAAAAAATATTTGTATATGTGCTACATTTGCTTTTATATATTGCCTTTTTAATGCTGTAAGCTATCTTCTGTCCTTTTTAAGGAAAAAGGCGGGGCAAAAATATTTTAAGTAAATAAATAAATTTAAATCCAACTTTTTCAGATCACTGAAATCCAGGTTTTCTTGTCTCCGTTGAAGCCTGTGGCCCTGACACTGTGCTGACCTTCTGTAGCAGACATTCAAAACCCTTTTTTTTTTAGCCTCAGGCTTTGGCCAAGGACACTGAGGTTACACTATTTATCCACATGTCCATTGCATGGACCCCTCCAAAAGTAGAAGCAGCGTATGTACCTACTTTTCCATCTTTTGAGGCTCTTCCACAACCCTATGAGACAGGTCAATTTGAGAGAAACTGGTGCACCATGAGTTGAATGGCTCAGTGGGAGCTAGAGCTATGTTGTCCTCGGTGCCAGTACCTCCTCTAACCCCTACACCACACTGCCTTTCTTACATAGGACGTTGCCATGTCTCTGGTGCCCTTGGATTTGTGCCTGCTGTGCAGGGTGGCTGGGAGGATCCCATGAGATTCGCTCATGCCTACAACAAGGAGCTTCTCAAAGGAAGGTGAGCATGTACAGTGGTGCCTCGCATAACGAGCACACCGTTTAACAACGAATCTGCATAGCGATGTGTTTTTTCCAATCGCTTTTCCGATCGCATTGCGATGTTTACATAGGGTAAATATCACATTGCGATGATCGGTAAGTGTTTCCTTACCGATCTTCACATTGCGATGTTTTGGGAACAGCTGATTGGCGGTTCCAAAATGGCCACCAGATCAAGAAAATGGCTGCCTGCAGCGTTTTCGCGCCCTGCCCTCGCTTAGCAAGGCGGCGAAAATGGTGGCCGTATAGGGAATCTTCACATAACAGCGAGTTTTGTCCCCATAGGATTTTTTGCCCCGAATAGCGACGTTTCTGGATAGTGACGATTTATCCGGAATGGATTATCGTCGCTATGCAGGGCACCACTGTACATGCAGAGGTTTTAAACATCAGTTTATTGAACCTTCCACCTGGGACTTCAGAACACAATGACTTTTTCCAAGTGGTGTATAAATCAAGGGTGGGCAGCACCCCGATCCATCCTTTCCCTCCGGGCTATATTGGCTCCTTCCAAAGAAACCAAAAAGGTCTGAAACGGCACCTTTGGTTGTCAGAAAATCTATTTTGGAAAAAGTGCCAAGGATTTTGGAAGAACCGTGGCTCCTATTGTCTTCTAGAAGTGTGGTTCTTTTCTTTCCCTTTTGTGGCGACTCTTTTGCTTTGTTTTGTTTATACAATGAGGCGTTGGGTCTGGAATGAGCCAGGTCACCACAAAATTGGGGAGACCTGCACATGGCCTGCACAAGGCATTCCCTCCCCGCCTCCCCTACACAGGAGAGTAGTGAGCACCAGAGGTCTGTGTTCAAGTTTCAAAGAGGACCAGCGTGACTTCCAACCCACCATTTATGATGAAGAGACAGAAGACCATCCAGGCGAGACAGAAGCTCCATGTGAAATGGAGGCTATCGATGGAGCTCAACTCTTTCTGGGTAGAATCCACTGTGTATAAAGTCATCGCGACAAATCCTAAGACTCCTAGGGCAGAGGAGAAGAGCAGACG